TGAGTGTTGTCTTGAGGATTGAACGAAACCTGGTGAAGATGAGATGCCACAAGCAGACTGTAGCTCAACAGCAGCTTATGTACAGCTGGATAAACAGAGCTACAAATGCAAAGGTGCATCCTACCTAGCCTTATGCACAGCTCATTGTATTTATAGACGTGTAGCATCGTAGTAATAGACTGCCAGTGGAAGCAGTGACCCAACGCCAGTAATACAAAAGTGTGTGTGTTCAGAAAGCTCACCTGTCGTATGGGGTAGGTTGTGTTACCGTTGCTCTTGATCTGAGCCAATACTTTGGCCTTCTCCCACTGCCACAGACACATGCTCCAGTCTGGACCCCCACTCTGCGACACCAGGGACTTGGAATCGGGCGAGAACCCGAGGCTTACGTACTCTTGAAACGAGCCCTCGGCGTAGCTGAGGACCTTCTTTCTCTTTAGCGTAGTGAGATCGAAAACGGTGATGGTGGGACGCTCTCCTTTCTTCTCGGCAACGGCCACGTAGCGTTTGTTGGGGCTGACTGCAAGCGCCGTGGCTCCTCCCGTGTCCGGGCTGAGCGGCACGAACTTTTGCGTCTTCTGCACGGCGTTGCAGAGGACGAGATTTGACTCCCGACGGGTAGAGGATGTTCCGCTCGTCCAGGTAGGTGACCGAGTTTGCCACGTTTCCTTTGAGCCCGTAGCAGTAGCGGGTCTGCACCGTCGCTATGGACATGGTGGCCGGTCTGCAGAAGGTTTCTGTACTCCAGTGAAGAGGTGCAGTCTCTCTCGCGCCGTGCTGTGCAGCAGTGGTGCACACACCACACGCGCACTGTTTCTCAAGAATACGCAGTTGCTTGGCAACGGTACATAATACGCATGCGCAGTTACAACGTGTTCGTGGCAACCTTTGACCGACCTAGAAGAAGAAGGCGGCTTTTACTCTCCTTTTGTATAGCTTGAGGCTCGCTGCTGCTCCACATCGACCATGTCTCGCATGAAGATCGAGGAGGTGAAGAGCACGACCAAGAAGCAGCGCGTGGCTGCGCACAGTCACGTCAAGGGGCTGGGTCTGGACGAACGAGGCGCTGCAAAGCAGGTGGCGGCGGGGTTGGTTGGACAGGAACTAGCCAGAGAGGCCCTGGGGGTGGTGGTGGACCTTGTCCAGAGCAAGAAGATGGCCGGGAGAGCCGTCCTGCTCGCGGGGCCCCCAGGAACCGGTAAAACGGCCCTGGCTCTTGCAATAGCCCAGGAACTGGGCCCCAAAGTTCCTTTCTGCCCAATGGTCGGCAGCGAGGTGTACTCCACCGAGGTAAAAAAGACGGAAGTACTCATGGAGAACTTTCGGCGTGCCATCGGGCTCCGAATCAAGGAGACAAAGGAGGTGTACGAGGGGGAAGTCTTGGAGATGACTCCGAATGAGACGGAGAACCCGATGGGTGGGTACGGGAAAACCATCAACCATGTGGTCATCGGGCTCAAGACCTCCAAGGGAACAAAGCAGCTGAAACTCGATCCGGCGATCTACGAGAGCCTGCAAAAGGAGAAGGTTCAGGTGGGGGACGTGATTTACATAGAGTCTACCAGCGGAGCCGTCAAGAGACATGGTCGCTCCGACACGTATGCAACCGAATTTGACTTGGAGGCCGAAGAATACGTTCCGCTTCCAAAGGGAGATGTGCACAAGAAGAAAGAGGTGATACAAGACGTGACGCTCCACGATCTCGACGTGGCAAATGCTAGACCACAGGGAGGCCAGGATATCATGAGCATGATGGGCCAGCTCCTGAAACCAAAGAAGACTGAGATAACGGACAAACTTCGGAAGGAAATCAACAAAGTAGTAAATCGCTACATCGACCAGGGCGTGGCCGAGTTAGTCCCTGGCGTTTTATTCATTGACGAGGTACACATGCTCGATATCGAGTGCTTCACTTACCTCCACAGGGCCCTGGAATCTTCCCTCTCCCCCATCGTCATCTTTGCAACGAACAGGGGCAAATGCACGGTGAGGGGGACCGAGATTAAGTCCCCGCACGGGATGCCCCTGGATCTATTAGACCGGATCATGATAATTAGAACCCTCCCCTACTCTCAGGAGGAAATTGTCCAGATCCTCAAAATCCGGGCCGTGATCGAGGGAATTCAGGTGCAAGACGAGTCTTTCAAAGTCCTCGGGGAGATTGGGACAAAGACGACGCTGCGATATGCCGTGCAGCTTCTCACGCCTGCCAGCATACTGGCACGGATCAACGGTCGGGAGGTCATTGCGAGGGAAGACGTGGAAGAGATAAACGAACTGTTCTACGACGCAAAGTCGTCGGCAAAACTCTTAGCCGAACAGGAGGACAAGTATATGAAGTAACCCCTGCTGTTGTGTGTACATCTCTTCTGCCCTATATACTCGTGCATGCACTCTTATGTAATGACGTATGATTGCTGTATAAAAAGTATTGTATATACCCTTGGCTCGTGGGTAATTGGGGGACATAGCTCCTTTTGCGGTGGTATTATAATGCAGGCTAGTTGGCTCGTGGGTAATTGGGGGACATAGCTCCTTTTGCGGTGGTATATAATGCAGGCTAGTTGGCTCGTGGGTAATTGGGTATACCCTGCATATGTGTATCTGTCATGTTGACAGTGCTTTAAACATACACCCCTCTACTCGCCACATGCATTGCTTAATATGGTAACATGTTGTATCTGCAGTCACAAGCAGTGTGCATGTTGCTCAGGCTACCAAATATGCCGACCGTCAACTGCCAATGAGCCCGTTGCCCAAGTAGGCACAGCTGCATATGGAAGACTAACAACGTTACTGCTAATGAAGGTGACTATCATAATTACACACCCTATTGGGGGTCATGGAGTGCACTACAACAAATGACAAAGAACTAGATAACCTTGAATTATGCACTAAACAAAGAGGATATGACCAAAGGCTCAGGAATTCAGAATATGAATGGAATGAGGCCTCTCCTAAGAGATGGATAGTCGAGAAACTGGTTTCTGAGCCACTTGTGATTCTGTCGGGACCGGGGAACGAAGGTGGCCTCACTGACCAGCCACAGGACTAGTCCGGCGAGCGACCAAGTCATGACGGCCCACCCAAACCACTGCAGCCCCTCCCCGAAATAGTTGGGGCACGAGATGAGGAAGTAGAGCGGACCTTTCGGGATCGCGTGCTTTGTGTCCGTTCTCGACTCGCGCAGACACACCAGTTGGTAGTCGGCGACTCGATTGAGTGCAAACCCAACGATAAATAACACCAGTCCGATGAGAAAACGAGGGTCGTAGAGATAGTTGTTGCAATATTCGGCCGAGCCGATAAACTCGGCGTTGATATAAGAGATGAGGAGCCCCGTTAGGAACCACGAGAGGGGGATCCAGAGTCGAATCTTGGTGTTGCTGTAGCGAGAGACAAGCGGGTTGACGATCCCTCGCTCCAGGTAGTGGATCACGTACAGACAAAAGAACACGATGTTGGGCGCCTGGTTAAAGTGTTGCCCGGCGAGGAAATAAGAGAGGATGAAAAACACGATGTTTGGGACGAGGGCCACCACCATTTTCGCGATCCTCACGGGAACGGGGAGACGCCCACTCCCACTGGTGTGTCTCCCGTACGGAATGGGCTGAAAGAGTTGCCCCACAAAATAGGCAACCGCCACGAGAAATCCAAACACAATGAGGCCAAAGTGAATGTATAGTCGGATGTTGTTGTCTCGAGTGTTGGTGATGGGGCTCGGGGGTCGGTTGGGGTCATCGGGGAACAGGAGATAGGGTATTCCAGACGTCCAGCTGTCGTCTCCATCACAAGGGACTGGAGACTGCCTCATGGACGTTCCATTATTGGACGACATGATCCTCTCCTAGAGAAACCAACCACAAGCATGATTAAGGTTATATTAGTAGTTAAAACGACTCTATGCATAATATACAACGAATTCCCGATGCTAGCTAGTAATAAATAGAAAAACGAAACGAAGACCAACGGGCTACAGAAGACTCAGTCGAACCGATTGCTAAAAAAACTCACAGATATTTCTTCAACTCTGCAGCTCGACTGACAGCTCTAGGAGTGGTTGATGGTGGCCGGCCTCACACACCAGACACAAGGAAAAAACTGGCCTTCTTCCGGTGACACGGACATGAAAACGGAAATTAGCTACTGCAGAGTGTCGTGATATCACGTACGCGCATGCGCAAATTCACGCGCGGTATTATAGTGCGCTTCAATTAGAGTTTAGAGTAGCACCGACCGATCGAGAGGACGGCGGAAGAAGCGGAGAAAAAAACAGGCGAAGGAGCTGCCGAACAGCAGTGTCCTATCTGCCTAGAGCAGTGCGACGACAAAACCTTCATTGATCCTTGCTTCCGTATCCTCTTTCAATAAACAATACACTCAACTGTACTGTATATACTGGTTTATTCTTTGACTCTTGGGAGCAGATTGTTTCTGTTTCATGTGCGTAGTCCAGTGGGCGGAGGTGACCACCACGTGTCCAATGTGCAAAACCAACTTTACCACTCTCATCCACAATGTTGAGGCCATCGACAAATATGCACAGGTAAACTAGAAAAACATCAGATTCTCACAAGTAGTGAATGTATTGGAACCCCTCTCTAAGGACACACCTGGACCTCTCCACCTTTTACCTAAAATTGATATACAGACTCCTCACTAGTATCTTTTGTGTCCCATCGGTATCCAGATTAGAAAAGCTCCATCGTATACATAGATAGATGTGTATTGTATATAATTACATGTTGAAAACGTTACCAACCTTTTATGTGTAGTACAAAGTTGAACCAAAGACCAAGTCATCTGGTTTTGAAATCGGCATTGGAGGAGCTAGAAGGTGAGCTCTATTGACGCTGTATTATTGTGATGTATGTATGTAATGCGAGTTTCCTCAGGTTTAGGTATCGGACGACGCTCATGCCTGGGCAGCCGAGGGCGGCGTCGTCCTCTGGCGGGGCAGGCTCTTCTCACAGTCAGGAGGAAGGGGGAGCCACTGAGAGAGAGAGGGAGAGAAGGGAGAGGAGGGAGGAGGCTGCCCAGCAGATGTCTAACCCTGCATCTGATGAGAGGAGGCGGTAAGTCTTTAAGTAGTATGAGGATCAAGGACTAATGTAAAACATGTTTCCGTGTATGACAGCGTTGTGTATGCTTTGGGACTGTGGGCTCAGCCGTCTGCCAACTCTGACAGAAGGAAAGAGAGAGTGAGAGATATATGTAAGAGGTCAACACAAACTCTTCGTACATGTTAAAAATAGTGTTTGGTTTTTGTTTTTTTCAGGTGCCATGTTTTTTCGTCAGAACCCAGCCTGCACTCATCGACTGGTGCCATGGCTGACGCGAGAGTTCAAAGTTCTCCTGGGTCCAGAACATGTCCAGTTTATGATTCAACTGGTCCTCTCCCTACTCAGCAAGTATATAGTATATATAGTAGCTAGGCAGGACTCATACTCACTCAACTATAATTTAGAAATGTTACTAAAGATAGACCTAAACAGGGCGGGCCCAGTGCAGTATGCAATTAATATAAGTAACATTTAGCCCTTATAATATACGGTATACACAATTTTTTGTGTTTGTGTTTCTTGGTACTTAGTTTAACAGTATTGTTTGTATATTTACTCCCTCCATGTTAGTTTTAACCTTGCAAGGGGAAAATATTGTTGGCTCCAAAAATGGTTGTTAAGACAACCTTCCTGGTAATTATTGTTTTTCCCGACAAAGTATGCATGGTGTATATAAGACGTTTGGCTCGGTCTATATATCAATTAGGTAATAGCGTCTAATGTGACGACAAGGCTGTTGTGTCTACTTCACACAATAGGAACATTACACTCTCAAAGTCCTTCCGTTTCCTGACACACTTAGAGAGCTTAGAGCTTCTTACTTTTCGTGCACGTTCTGCATACTAAACTCTGTGGTGGTATTTCTTTTGGACAGGATAAATCTGGACGGGGAGGAGTTTCCCGAGCATCTCCAACCATTTCTGGCCACGCGGACCTCTCACTTCCTCCACGAGCTGGTCTCGTTTGCTCGCTCCCCGCTCAACATGGCGGCCTACGATCACAGTGTCCGCTACGAGTGGCCGACAGCCGGGAGAGCCAGAGACAACTGGGACCCCGAGGCCACTGTCAATCACAGTATCCTTCCACAGCACCTCCACAGCTCACCTACACCAGGTCAATTAAAACTCCTTTAACCAGCAAGAAAAAAATTTGCAATTCAGTAAAGATTTTGTGAAGAAACTGTTGTCCTGAACAGCATGGTCACTTCTGTGCATATCTCAGTGGGGAGTGTTTGTTGCTTCAGCCATACCTTTGATCTTGCTAGGTAGATCAACTTACGTATACAAAGCAAAGAGGAAAGAAGCTCTCTAGGATTTTTCCTGCTGAGCTTTAACAACAGAGCTCTTACACAACTCAACACAACAACAAAGTTCTCACGCCACTTACTGTACACAATCTTTCCCGCAGGTCCGGCAGGGTTGTCATCACAGGAGATCCAAGAGAGGCTGTTTCATGAGCTGACAGCCACTCGCTGGGACGACAGTCCTCCCTTCCTCCCCCTCCCCTCCTCTCCCTCCTCACCAATCCTCGTTCACGGCTCTGACTCTGAATGCGACGGGGTGGATGACGTAGCACCCTCTATCGCAGCATCCCCTCTAGAGGCCTCCTCCTCTAATCTTGCCGCTATTAGTAGCGGCGCTATTGGTGATGGTGCTGCTGTGAGTGTGGGGAGGGGTGAGGAGGGTGGAAGAGAGGGAGAAGAGGGTGACTTCGGTACAGGTGTCGCGTCGGAGACTTTGTCGCAGCAACCGAGGAGTTTGGAGGACGGTGATTACCCCACGCTCGAGGGACTTGGTTCTCAGGCATTGGAAGACACTTTTTCTACACATCCACCAGCTGACACAGAAAGCCCTGCCTCTTTACCTTCTTCACTGAACACTGGGACCGAGACAAATAAACATGGAGAAGAGGTGAACGATGAAAAGGAGAAAGAGCAAAGAAACAAAGAAGGAGAAGACGGAATTGAAGAGGAGGAGGAGTGTATTGTGATCAACGCAGAGAGTGAGGGTGAGCAGCCGCCAGAGCAGAGGGCCAATGAAACGTTTGGCAGTATAGCTGCGGGTAGTTTGGAGACTCGCGGAACCAAGAGGAGTTTCAGGAAGAAACCCACCAGCTGTCCGCGAGAAGGAAGAGTGAGGGAAGTGAGTCAGAGCAAGGGTGAGAGGGGAGCAACAACGAAGGGGGAAAATGGAAGTGGAGAAACTAAGGAAAAGGGTTGCAGCAAGAGGAGTGAGACAACAGATCGACACAAGAAGAGGGACAGGAAGAGCACCGAAAAAAGACGCAAGGAGAAAGAAAAGGGAAGGAGAGAGAGTCGTAAATATCCCAGTAAGAGTAGAAGAAGATCAATGAGTAGGGAGTATAGGCACAGCAGATCAAGACACCACTACAGTAGGAGCAGTTCCAGTGACTTGGACAGAGAGCACAGGAATAGGGACAGGAGAAAGAGAAGCAGAAGTCCGAGACACGTGGATGCAGACATTGAGCCTTACTGCGTGAGGGACAAGTCCCACAGATCAAGACTCTATTCCGACGACTACAATAACGCAGGGGCTTCCTCATCTGGCCGTGACCGTGAGGAATCATCTAGCAGAAGTGGAAAGAGAAGAGAGAGGAGGAGGGAGAGTGAAAGTCCGCTCGACGGAAGGTCTGAAAAACGACGTATGGGGAACAGAGAGAGTGATGGCAAGCTAAAAGAAGAGCTGTCTAGCATCGATGAGGAAATTGTGCAACACAAGCGAGAGGTTCTGCGAGCCATGCTCAGATGCGAGCGACTGAAACTCCTCCACCGACAGCTGCAAGGAAGAGACTTGCCCGACGACAGCTGCAGCAATGAATTGGGGAAGCCCCCGGTAATTGACGAGAGCACACCCACTGGTGAGGTTGTGAAGCAATTGGCACGAGCTGGCACAGGTCTATAGTTTCAAGCTATAGACGCAAATAGAGATGGGTGTTTTGCATGAGGTTTAGATGAGCTAATTGCAGCGGAAACACGATCTGTCACCTTGTCTGACGTTTCACGTTATATCTGCTAATTTTTTTCTCCTTGTAATAATGGTAACGTCTTTGTAATTTGACAAACATAAGATACTCCAAAACAAATGCAGGAATGCGCTCTTCTCATTCCGAACAAACCTGGCTACAACGTCTTCCCTTCTTCCCATTCGTGGTTTCCGTACCACTATGTTAGAAATCGGAAATAGTGAATGGCGAGGGTGGGGACTGTAGTAATTGTCTATGATGTTATCTGCGTGGTGTGGGAATTCGTCCTTCGTCTCCTTCCCTTACTCGCCCGCCCGCTCTCCCCCGCTCTCCGGCGACGAAAAAATAAAAAACGGACCCGTCTACGTGCCGGTGGACAAGAAGGCCGGAGGACCATCAAACAGGGCATCTTTCTCGTGCTTATCTTCTTTTTCACTTCTCTCTCTCTTTTTATTTTTTCTCTCCATTGTTTGGTGGTACTACATGCCCGTGGATGGTGTAAGACCAATAAGTGAGAAGACATGCGTCTTGCATGTTTCACTCTATTAGGATCCACTACGAGTAGAAACCTAGACGGCCCGCCAGCACGTAAAAAATATCAGGATCCAACAATCGACAGTCGCAGATCCAACCAAACCTCTATTGATCGTATCGGCTATTACACACACTTTGTCCACCAAACGCGCTGTCGTCGCAATCCCATAGTCCTGTCGCTACTTCTATCGATCACTCGCTGTCTCAATAGGTGGGGTGAGTGTGTCTCCCCTGCAGCCCCATCGCCCTACTGGACATCAAAAAAGCGAGCATACCAACCTCACCATCCCACATTGTCTTCAGAGTAATTCATATAGCGTTCTCACTTTAGCTCAGTCTAGACTAGCTGTGGTAGCTCTTAGCTCGGGTTCAGTAGGGTAGGGTTGTGTCGGTCGAGAGTTGCCGTGGAACATCTAAACAGCTTGTGATGAATCGGTGTGTCGATGTGGTGTCCGTGTACTGAACAAGCCAACCGAACCTGCTGTGCTACTGATGCCTCGCGCTCATGGGGCTACATATGACATCTACCTGCAAATAATATCTCTCCATTTTTTGGGTCATTTACTACATACGGAGATGTAATACAAAGAGAAGGGGCGTAGGGGTTAGCATACTTGGACAGTGAGAGCATTAAATTATGTACACACTTGGTTTGATCTTTTAGTGAAGGCCTGGTGAGTTGGTTTCCAGTGGTGAAAGTTGTAGCTACGTACCGAGAGAAAATGCAATCAATTTTTTCGGGTAAACACTCCAGTGTTTATTTTTGCAAAGTAACGTAATCGTTAGTTTTTAACAAATTGGGTATCATGTATGTTTCGGACATATTACGATACTGCTAAACTTGCACATCCCTTGGTTAGTTTTCCGAAATCTGATGGCCGACTGCCACCTCCTCACTCACTTCAGGCACTGCACTTTGCTTTCACATGCTCTGTGTCAATAACAGTATTATGTAATGGGGCTCTTCCCTGAGGCCTGGAATGTAATTCAAGCCTAACAGTTTCTCTTCTCTCCTATATATACACATCTCACCTAACATACATACATACATACATGCATGCTTGCATAGCTCTCCCTTTATTCTGTGCAGCTATAGTAGGGGTGTGGGTCAAATCTTGGTCGGTCGGTTGTAGCCAGCTCGCTCACAGACCAACTGGTTCACACGGTCCAGTGGCTGTGTGGTTCCTGCAGGCTTTCTCTACACTGCCATTTTGTATGATGTACTTTCGTATTTACATAGCCAGGAATGTGTGTAACTTCCCCCAAGCAATGTGTAGATAAGCGTACTGGAAAGGTGACTAAAATTCGCAGGGGCTGAAATGTAATACCTCAGGCTCACTGAGGAAAGAAAGAGTCCAGAAGATTGATTCCAAATTTCACCAAGACTTGCACGATTGACCGCATCAACTTCTCCGCTGTCCTTACCTCTTCTGTTTATTCTCTTGTCTTCTAGAGAGTAGTAGAGAAAATACTCTACTACACTCTCTACAAGACGAGAGAATTAACAGAAGAGGTACTCTTGTGCAGAGCTTACATTGCATAGCACAGAGGGAGGCCCGGGTGTCAGTGTTTTGAGCAATGTGTGTGTGTGTGTGTGTGAGAAAGCTCGGAGGCAAGGCAAAGGTCTGTTCAAAGGTGTGACGCTGGCACATTTAGGTATTCTTTTGTGAGTACCACAGGCCACTAATTGGACCGTTCAAAGAAGGTGCAACATATGTATATTCATTTTTACTCGCTCTCTCTCTCTCTCTCTCTTCTAGACATGCAAGCCACAACTGAGCCATTTCAACACACTGAACTAGATGCTGAAGGTGACTACTCTAGGTCTACCTGCAGTCTTGCATGCCCCCGTGGGTGGGTAGTCACATTCATAGCACAACTAATATAATGGGTTGGGGGGTATGTATACTAACTTTGGCAAGAGGTCCAATGCGACAAATTGTTAAATTTGGATCGAACCAAAGAGCAATTAGACTGCGAACCCTACTTAAGACTCTGCAGGTTATATTTTACCTCGGATTGTCCTGTTCAGTTTTACATACATGCATCTATACAATAGTTTAGTTGTGTGTGTATTGATGCGGTGGTTTGAGTACTGCAACATGTGACCCTCTCTACCACCGTGTGTGTACGTGTGTGTTTGTATCTTCGCTGCAGGATTGGTTGACAACATGCGCTATCTTCTCCCCCTCGTCTCCCAGTCAGACCAACAGCAGTACTCCAACTCAAAGAGAGTTCGTTACCTCAACCAACTGGCCAAGGTCAGCCCCCCCTTACACTTTCGTACAACACCTTTGGAGGGGCGGGGCCTCTCCAACGCTCCTCTTATTAGTCACTCCCCATGTGATAGGCTCACCTACATTTTATTTATACCTCAACCTCATCCACAATAATAATATTGTGTAAAATTACACGCCCCACCTACAATTTTCTTCAGCTCTGCTGCCGTATTATTTTCTTACGGTAAAAACTGCATAAGGTAATCTCTGTTAACGATATTCTCTCCATTCACCCTAGGTGATAAAGCACTGTGGTTTTGTCATCGATCCTTACTACCCTGTGGAGAAGGTCATTGAGAAGTAAGCCTCCCATTCTCTCGTTGCTCTGTTGAGCGTTTTATTCTTGGTTGTGCTGCTGACTTACCACTCTGAAGTCCATGTGCAGAGAGACCAGTTTCGCTCCCTCTCTATGTAGTACATATCTGACAGTTTATTGTATATTGTGGTTGGAGGTTTGCCTTTGTGTTGTACTGTGTTGAAGATTTGAACGTGAGTGTCCCTGGTAGCTGAGCGCTCTGCAGAGTGCCGTGGGTTTGAATCCTACCCAGGGCAGCTCTTCTCTTTTCCTCGGGAGAAAAAGAGCTGGTAGTTGACTTGTTTGTTGTGCCAGTACAACATACCTAATGTGTATAGTGCATGATACAATCTTGGGCCAGCCAAGAATTCCACTCAGCAGTATTTCTCTTGTCGTCTGCCCCACCTCCAGCCACAACACACTCCCCATACAAACACCACATTACAGTAGTAGAGATGTACACAGTACACAGTACATCTCACAGACACTGGTACATATACATACGTACATCTCTCAGAGTACATGCAGTAGATCTGGGTCCTAAAGTATTGCAAAATACAATATTAGTTGCTGGAACCACAGGCGCATTTGTATTGCATACCTACGTGTTTGTCTTAAAGAGCGTGTTTCGTCCTGCAGTTTCACTAATGTCTTGTGTACCCACATACGATGTGTACACACGTAATATGGACGGCTCATTCAGTTTATACACCTGGAGTGCTGCCGAGTTGGGTGTTTGTTGTTTTTTAGGGATATGTGTAGGCAATAGGAGTTTGGGAAAACAGCGTCTTTTATCGCATATTCGGTTCTCTTTTTTCTCTTTCTCTCTCGTGCTCTGTCTCTTCTCTCCCACCCCCTCCTCCCTCCACCTTCTCTCTCCCGGTCCTCTCCTCCCTCCACCTTCTCTCTCCCGGTCCTCTCCTCCCTCCACCTTCTCTCTCCCGGTCCTCTCCTCCCTCCACCTTCTCTCTCCCGTGTCCTCTCCTCCCTCCACCTTCTCTCTCCCTGTCCTCCCCCCTCCCCCCTGGCACAGTGTGCGACTGGCTCTGTCTAGCTCTGTCAAGGAGGTGAGAGCTGGCTCCCTGAGGGTCCTCCGCTATGTCCTCCAGTCCAGAGATATCTTCTCCATCATGCTCCGACTCAGAATTGACATACTGGTGGTTAGGTAGGCCACCCAACGAGACCTATATTATTTATACGTATCTGGAATATGTGGATGTTTGCCAGTTGGTGCATGTTCACGCTTTTATTTGCGGCATACCAAGTAAAAAATTTCACCGTTGCCCGTTCCACATTTTAATGGATACCAATATTTCCAGTGGTGACAGTAAAGATCACACTACGCTTTTACTCACAATTTTGTGAGCTACTTAGTGATTTAGACGGTGTGGTTATAATGTAATCCGACTATGTAAATTTGCACGCAGAATGTTAAAAGATTTGATTTCCTAGGTCGCTGGATGTCCCAGCCTCCAGAGAGATAGAGAGATTGCAGGCTGTCAGATTTGTTCGGCAAGTGAGCTCTGCGCACTAACTACTGTACATACGTAGCATCCACCACATCCACTAACTGCAGGCTGTCAGATTTGTTCGGCAAGTGAGCTCTGCGCACTAACTACTGTACCATACTTAGCATCCACCACATCCACTAACTGCAGGCTGTCAGATTTGTTCGGCAAGTGAGCTCTGCGCACTAACTACTGTACATACGTAGCATCCACCACATCCACTAACTGCAGGCTGTCAGATTTGTTCGGCAAGTGAGCTCTGCGCACTAACTACTGTACATACGTAGCATCCACCACATCCACTAACTGCAGGCTGTCAGATTTGTTCGGCAAGTGAGCTCTGCGCACTAACTACTGTACATACGTAGCATCCACCACATCCACTAACTGCAGGCTGTCAGATTTGTTCGGCAAGTGAGCTCTGCGCACTAACTACTGTACATACGTAGCATCCACCACATCCACTAACTGCAGGCTGTCAGATTTGTTCGGCAAGTGAGCTCTGCGCACTAACTACTGTACATACTTAGCATCCACCACATCCACTAACTGCAGGCTGTCAGATTTGTTCGGCAAGTGAGCTCTGCGCACTAACTACTGTACATACGTAGCATCCACCACATCCACTAACTGCAGGCTGTCAGATTTGTTCGGCAAGTGAGCTCTGCGCACTAACTACTGTACATACGTAGCATCCACCACATCCACTAACTGCAGGCTGTCAGATTTGTTCGGCAAGTGAGCTCTGCGCACTAACTACTGTACATACGTAACATCCACCACATCCACTAACTGCAGGCTGTCAGATTGTTTCGGCAAGTGAGCTCTGCGCACTAACTACTGTACATACGTAACATCCACCACATCCACTAACTGCAGGCTGTCAGATTTGTTCGGCAAGTGAGCTCTGCGCACTAACTACTGTACATACGTAGCATCCACCACATCCACTAACTGCAGGCTGTCAGATTTGTTCGGCAAGTGAGCTCTGCGCACTAACTACTGTACATACTTAGCATCCACCACATCCACTAACTGCAGGCTGTCAGATTTGTTCGGCAAGTGAGCTCTGCGCACTAACTACTGTACATACTTAGCATCCATCACATCCACTAACTGCAGGCTGTCAGATTTGTTCGGCAAGTGAGCTCTGCGCACTAACTACTGTACATACGTAGCATCCACCACATCCACTAACTGCAGGCTGTCAGATTTGTTCGGCAAGTGAGCTCTGCGCACTAACTACTGTACATCCACCACATCCACTAACTGCAGGCTGTCAGATTTGTTCGGCAAGTGAGCTCTGCGCACTAACTACTGTACATACGTAGCATCCACCACATCCACTAACTGCAGGCTGTCAGATTGTTCGGCAAGTGAGCTCTGCGCACTAACTACTGTACATACTTAGCATCCACCACATCCACTAACTGCAGGCTGTCAGATTTGTTCGGCAAGTGAGCTCTGCGCACTAACTACTGTACATACTTAGCATCCACCACATCCACTAACTGCAGGCTGTCAGATTTGTTCGGCAAGTGAGCTCTGCGCACTAACTACTGTACATACTTAGCATCCACCACATCCACTAACTGCAGGCTGTCAGATTTGTTCGGCAAGTGAGCTCTGCGCACTAACTACTGTACATCCACCACATCCACTAACTGCTGTGTGACATTATGAATGTGATTATGCTAACTCAATTTGTTCCGTTAAAGGCATGTAATGTCCATTATCGTACATCACTTTCTACACCTCATGTCGTAGCCCCCTCCCCTTACTCCTTCCTACACTCTTTCTCTCTCTCTCTCTCTCTGTAGGTCATCTCCACTGCTCCAAACCTGTTCCCGGTGTCCCTAGCAGCTCCTCTGGTCTCCATAGTTTTGTATGACTCTGATCCTATGGACAACCTTACCTGGTCTGCCATTGCCACACTCTGTGAACTAGGTACAGGTATCCTCTGACCTTAGTGGGCAGTATATAGTCTCGTATCCAGGCTTTATGTATGTATGGTCTATTTTTAGTGCATTAATAATGGTTTCATAATATTAACTGATACCCATGTTAGCATTGAATGCTGAAATGATACAGTGTCTCTAAAGTAAACGCTCCATCTGCTACTTCCTCTTCAGCTCTAGTCAATCCTGAGGTAGCTGCGAGATCTGGGGGAATCAAAGCGATACTAAAGGGACTTCTCAAGTGTCACGTAAGACCCACTTCCCTCGTCACAACTTTACGGTTTCACTGCTTTAATTGGGTTTGCAGACACTGAGAATCAGCGAATCAATTGTTCTTACACTCAACTACCTTTTGAACAGACCAGACACCAGGAAATATGTCAGATCACACTTGGACCTGGAGGTGAGCTGTGAGCCTTTGGGGGTACATAAGGGGGTTTTTGTAGTTGAGTCAGCAGCCAAGCACTGCTGGTGTAGTGGTATCATGCAAGATTCCCATTCTTGCGACCCGGGTTCGATTCCCGGGCAGTGCACCTTTTTTTCTTTTACACTATTTTTACCACCTGGACATATGCACGTTTATTTCTCCTGAATTTCGTATATTTCCTAGTAAAAACAATTTTATTATCTTTTCTTGCAGTCGTTGTTAGCACCTATCACAGATCTGCACTATAGATGCCTAATGGAAGAAAACCAAAGAGCAGCACTTCAGTGAGTGTACCTACCATTCTCTTCCTCGTTTCGAATCTTGTTTTTTACCTTTATTTTTATCCCTGTATACACAATTTCACAGGTTCACTTGCAAAGGGAGTAACACATAATATTGTGACAATTCCTGTTAACAGTGATTTGTAAACCGTCACAGAATAATATTGTAATATTGTACATGTACGTACACATATTTCCCTTGTTACTTCATATAAGACTAAGTTTTGAGTCTATATTTCTCAGGGTCCTTGACATGAGTGTGGTACAGGCATCTAAAATGGCTGCGGTGTCGATGCTGAAGACCTGGCCAGGCCTCTTCTGTCTGTGCAGTCCCCACAACACCGGGCTGGTGTCTCTTCTGAATATGCTCCCCCTCACCCAGATGGAAGTACAGGTGAGGGAGGGACAAGTGGGTGTATAGTAGCATATAATGATTACTTGAATCACTCTTGTGTAGCGTTTTTTTTCACACAAGCCGACCTAAACCTGCTACTACTAACTTTCTACTAACTTCCTTTCTAGCTTTTATATAGCAAGTTTAGCCTGGACAATCAGTGTGAGGCATAGCTCATTGTGTTCCTCCTTCCTCGATCCCTGTGACCCTGTCTTCCTCGCGCTCTCCCCTCCCTGCTTCCTTCCTTCCTCTGACTGACCCAGAGAGAGATACTGGACCTGTTATACTGTGTGTTCCAGCTGAAGGTACCCACGTGGACTGAACATTTCCAGGAGGCCATTGCCAGTGTCGGTCAGTAGCAATACTGGTCTTATTTCTCTCGTCATCTACGTACGTCAAATTCAACGACCTTCAACTTCAAATTCCACTGTAGTACTGTGTTTTGGTTGCATATGTAGTACACACAAATGTGTTCTATGCTAGTAATATATATACAACCAAAGTGGGAGTGGTCATTCAATATGTGTGTTAACGGAGTTGTCGTGATGTAATGTCCTACTAGACCCGGTCCAGCCAAAGGGGCAGTGGTCGTTTACGGAAGGGTTCGTGGTCGAGGAAGGGAAGGACCTCCTTCCGCCCAAATATGGGAGCCGGACAAACCTCGTCAACTGCTTCCACGCCCTCCTGTTGGCAGTCCTCATTGAGGAGGGCGTCTTTGAGGTAGGCTGAGAGTGTGTGTTTCCATTCTCGTACCAGTTGTGCCTTAGTATAGAGAGAAGCCATGTATAGTCTCATGCCTATAGACTCAATACCTTGCGTAAGTTGGCACTATTGGGGAAGATGTGGAGCGTGTTTGAAGTGTGTATGAATGCATGCATGTAGTTGGCTTGTTTGCCTTGCCTTGCCTTTCTACCTCGTTACCAAGTTGTTGAGACGTGCTCACCCTCTCTGTCTGTCCATCATGCAGTGTCTGGTCGAGGTGGTGAGAACTGGTATGAATCACGTGCGAGTGATGACAACCATACTCATGGGACAACTGCTCCACATGGTGAGTCTGTGGCTCTTCACCCCCACTTACTCTATTGTCATAAATTTATATACAAGTGGCCCAAATTATCATATGCCTTTGAGCACTATAGGTTATCATAATTATGTGTAAGCATGCCAAATGTCCACTATTAAAAAATATTCTCTCTTCTCTTTCTTCCCCCTCACCTCCCCCCTAGGCCAACTCCATCTTACCGTCCGAGTTCTCCAGTGACACTCACTGTCTCACTGAGCTCATCTCCTCTGCCATGGACTTCGACACCCACGCCGAGAGAAAGTGAGAGATTTCTGCAGCTAAACTCCTTCCTTTCCCCCTCTCCCTCCCTTTTCCATCAAAATGTGTTATTGGATAGCACGAAGACACATGACATGCGACGACTGCGCTGAAAATGGACTCTGCACATTAGTTCATATCTCACAAATGGCAGTTTCTGGTTCTATTCCTAGGGTTCTCGACTTGCCAGGATTTCTCTCTCTCTCTTTTTTGAATTTCATGCTTTCTCCTTCCCTTTTCCTCGCATTCTGTCTCTAGTTTCCTCTCCCTCCCCCACTCCCTCCCTCAGTCGTGCCACGGAGGTGATTAGCTATCTGGACAGGGTCCACCAGCAGAAGAAAGAAGGTGTAAAGCCGTCCTCTCCCTACCTCCGTCTCATCCTGGAGCAGGCTCGCTACACCTCCCAGCCGAAACAGGAACAAGAACTTCTCAAACTGATTCCCAGTGTGGGTGTGGCCTGTCTGTGTTGTATATACCTCTCCACTGTCTCATAAGCCCTGTACTCCCCACTATTGCTGGTTCATAAGTCCCATAGTCCCCACTATTGCTGGTTCATAAGGTACTCCCCACTATTGCTGGTTCATAAGCCCTGTACTCCTCACTATTGCTGGTTCATAAGTCCCATAGTCCCCACTATTGCTGGTTCATAAGGTACTCCCCACTATTGCTGGTTCATAAGCCCTGTACTCCTCACTATTGCTGGTTCATAAGTCCCATAGTCCCCACTATTGCTGGTTCATAAGCCCTGTACTCCCCACTATTGCTGGTTCATAAGTCCCATAGTCCCCACTATTGCTGGTTCATAAGCCCTGTACTCCCCACTATTGCTGGTTCATAAGCCCTGTACTCCCCACTATTTCTGGTTCATAAGCCCTGTACTCCTCACTATTGCTGGTTCATAAGGTACTTTACTCCCCACTATGGCTGGGGTCATGAAGCCCTGTACTCCTCACTATTGGCTGGTTCATAGGGAAAATACGCCCCACTATTGCTGGTTCATCCAACAGTCCATAGTCCACTATTGCTGGTTCACTAGTCCCACATAGTCCGCCACTATGCTGGTTCATCAGCCCTGTACTCCCCACTATTGCCTGTTCATACAGTCCCATAGTCCCCACTATGCTGGTTCACATAGCCCTGTACCTCCACACTATTGCTGGTTCTAACCCTTACTCCCCACTATTCTGGTTCATAAGCCCTGAACTCCCACTATTGCTGGTTCATAAGCCATGTACCTCCCCCTATTGCTGGTTTCAGAAGCCCTGTCTCCTCACTATTGCTGTTCTAAGGACTCCCCCCTATGGCTGGTTCATAAGCCCTGTATTCCTCACTATTGCTGGTTCATAAGTACTCCCCCACTATGGCTGTTCATAAACCCGTACTCCCCACTATTGCGGTTCATAAGGTCTCCCCACTATTGCTGGTTCATAACCCCTGTACTCCCCACTATGCGGGTTCTAAGTCCCATAGCCCCACTTTGCTGTTTCATAAGCCCTGTACTCCCCCCTAATTAGCTGGTTCATAAGCCCTGTACTCCCCCACTATTCTGGTTCATAAGCCTGTACTCCCCCCACCATTGCTGGTTCATAATCCCTTACTCCCCCACATTTGCTGGTTCACAATTTTTCATCCACAATCACGTTCAAACTCAACATCCACACACAGAGCTCCACACCCCAAAACCAAAACACACAGGCGCACTCCACGCTCACCGTCCTCCCCCCCAACCGGAAGAGAACAGAGCAGAATGCAAGTGCCGCATCCCGGCCACACCAACACGGCGCTACATCCCCGGCCAGGTAAAGCCCCCACATAGATCCATCCCCCCGCCTCCGCGGTCCGGGCGTCCCGGACCACCGCGACCTCCCCTGAGCAGTAAACAAAACACAACAACAACAACATCAATAACACAGGCAGCCACCACAAGCTACATCAGAAACCCATTAACCCACATTCTGCAACCACACCCCGCCGTTCACCGCTCCATCCACGCAGCCCCACCGTGTATGGTAGCATATGAAGAATGATAGGATTGTGGACTTGCGGGAGGCCCACACGGCACCCATCTAGGGTGCGACCTCCTAGCTGCTCCACCCCCCCCGTACGCAACGCAATCCAAGGGACCCCCCTACCCCTCCCCTCCACGTCCGGCCCCCCCCCCCCAGGCCCCCCACCCCTCCCGACCGGCGACGCTCCCCGACTCCACGCCACCCCACTTCCACGGGAGGGGGGGGCGGAGCGGAAAGGCGCCTAACCCAACGACCTGTGCCTCCCACGCACCCCCAGTCCGATACCTCCACACCCACACCCAATCCAAATACGAATCCCCCACCCCCAGGCCATCCGCACCTACCACACCCCATCCCCTCCCCTCGAAGAGCCCCGAAAACCCAACCACTCCAAGACACTCCAGACCACCACCCCCCTCGAAGGCACCCGTCTGGAGAAAACGGGAAGCCGCCCACCGAAAAGACACACGCGTGTACGATAAACGCGGAACCCGGCCTCAAACCATGACCGGACCCAAACCCCCACAAACCTCGCAAACTGCAGAATTGAGGTTAGTCCTCGGTGCCCTGTACTCCTCACTATTGCGGTTCATAAGGTACTCACCCCAACTCCCCACTATGGCTGGTTCATCAGCCCCTGTAACTCCTCACTATTGCTGGTTCATAAGGCTACTCCCCCAACTAATTGGCTGGTTCATAACCCTGTAACTCCCCACATTGCTGGTTCATAAGGTACTCCCCACTATTGCTGGTTCATAAGCCCTGTACTCCCCACTATTGCTGGTTCATAAGCCCTGTACTCCTCACTATTGCTGGTTCATAAGCCCTGTACTCCCCACTATGGCTGGTTCATAAGGTACTCCCCACTATTGCTGGTTCATAAGCCCTGTACTCCCCACTATTGCTGGTTCATAAGCCCTGTACTCCCCACTATGGCTGGTTCATAAGCCCTGTACTCCCCACTATTGGTGGTTCATAAGCCCTGTACTCCCCACTATCGCTGGCTCTGTCCCCATCAGGAGATGGAAGACGGCTCGGTGCTGGCTCTAGTCAGGGACACTGATGTCCCGGTGGTGCCAACCAAAGAATACATGAAGTGGAAATGGAACCTCATCTTCTCAGTTCTACAGGTTGTTAATCTCCGTTCCTGTTTGGTCCTACCTTACAAAACATTTGTCATTCTTGCTACACCTTTTTCTTCAACTTTTCTGCTTTGATTATGACCTGTATGTACATACTGCATGGAATTGAAATCCTGTGTAAGCATAGTGATCTTTCTTTACCAATGCCTCATGAAACATGGTTGGATGCTATCAGTTAATCAGACTGGACAGAAAGAGACATGGGGGTTGTATTGCTGTTTATTGTCCATTGTTCGTTCTCATGTAAAGTCCTGCTAAAAGGTGGTCCATTTGCACTAGAGTTCATTTCAATATCATTTCTATCACAACCATCATTTTGTCTATGCAGCACCCGTCAATCAGAACCCCGCAAGTCATGGAGGATGCCACGTTTGGGAAGTAAGTGTATATGACGGCCTTAAAGACTGAGATGTGCCTCACGATCTCTCTCTCTCTCACTCCTCTCTGCATAGGTTCGTGAAGAGGTTGTGCAATTTCTTCAAGCCGAGTGGCCACCTCTTTGCTCTCATAAGGTTCTCTGAAGCCAACCAGAAGAAGTTCTCAACAGTCGGCAAACTGCTCGTAAAGTTTATGTGCTGCGTCGAAGAGGTAAGTAAAGCATTATACCTGAAAATCCAGAGTTGACAGCATTTTTTTGCTGTGGTGTATTCTGCAAATAAAACACATTTAAAATGGTGTAATTAACTGAATTACGCGATTATTCACACCATCATTGGATATTTGTCACTAAAGGCTTGCTTTTGCTTGCCAGATTATCGTTCTATAATCATGCACAAGAGAACCTGCACAGTCTTTTTCCGAGTTTCGTTTCAATTTCGTTACCTATTTCTTTTCTACCCACCTCTCTCCTTCTCCCTCCTCCACACTCTCTACCCACCCCTCTCCTTCTCCCTCCTCCACACTCAGAACTTCTCCTCTCACCTTGTGGCCCTACTCACCGACATCGTGAACGAACTCAGCCAAGTCACTGCCTCGAAGGTGACCGCCGATGTCTTCTCTGCGTCGTCCATCGCCAACAAACTTGCGAGAGACTATTTCCTTCTCCTGGGAACCATCAGCTACCTGCGCCCCGCTCTGCTCGAGCAGTGCAAGGCCTACGGTCCTCTCTTGGACATATGTAACTATCAGAACAGGACAGACCTCATGAAACTCGTGCTGTCGACTCTGGATTTTGGCAACGTCCACTGTAGAGTGATTCTCAGCAAACTTCTCACCTCCACTGACAAGGTACTGCATGCTCTGGAGCACCCTGTTTAAGGAAACAGTGCATAAACCGGTCCTTTTTTCTTCCACTGCACCTGTAATGATGCGAGGGGTATACACACGTGAAAGGCAATGTAATGAGGGCTAAATTTAGAAACGTTGGAACTAAAAACAGATTTTCTGTGTGTGTAGATTTATACGACACATTTTGCAAGTCTTCAACCTAATCTATGCTAGCAGAGGTGTTTCGGCCACACCCCCCCTTCTCTTGTCTCTCCCTCCCTCTCTCTCTCTCTATCCAGGAGATGAGACTGTATGCCACGCGGCACATGCGGGTGCTGCTGAGAGCAAAGATGCCGTTCTTCAACAGTTGGGGTCTCGAGCTCCTCGTGCCACAGCTCTACGACCTCGAGAGACGAGTAGCTCTCGAGGCCGTCGAGATTTTGGACGAGGCCTGCGAGGAAGAGGTGAGCGGTAAAGTATACGAGGGGGTGGGAAACTGTTGTGACCGTCAACCGTCAACTTTTGAGAGCAGTCCGTTACACTCCTTAAAATTTTCTTCCTGAAAAATATTCATGAATTTTTAAAAGCTGTGTAAAAACTATATACCAGGTTTTATGCTCAGTAAAACATAGTATCCACGGGCTCTTTTTTTCTCAGCCATTTCAATTTGTGAAATTTTCCTCTGAAGCACACTATTGTCTTGTTAGAGTGACTATATTATATTTGCAGAATTTTCTGGAGGCACTACTGTTGCAACAGCCTGCACTACTCCACCTGGGAGAGAAGGGAGCAGCTGTCTTCACCAGGTGAGGCTCCTAACTCTCTCCTCTCCCCTCCTTGTTACTCTTAACATACATTGCAATTCACCGGGTGAGAGACTCCTCACTGCTTCCCTCATCTCCTTTCTCCCTCTTCCTTACATTATACTCTCTCTCAACAAATCTCTACCCCACCCACTCCCTTTCTGGTTTCTGCTCTCTCTTTGCTCAATCCTCCCCCCTCCCTCTCCCTCTCCCTCTCCCTCTCCCCCTCTCCTTCTCCCTCTCCCTCCCATACACGTATATGCACAGGTTCATATCAATTCGAAGAGGCTTTACTCTGCTCCAGAAGCTGATGTTGTTTGAGTCGCTAATGGAGAAGTGGTACTCAACGTACAGCAAGCTCTATGTCTACATTGTAGAAGAGAGACTGGCGGAGGCTCTCACTTCCTTCAAGATCGTCGACGAGGGGCAGTTTATCAGACGAACTGATTCCAGGTGGGTGTGGCTACCGATGGGTAGTAGGCGTGACTACTGTCTAGTGGGTGTGGCTAATGCTAAATGGGTGTGGATTGTGGAACTACATGTAAAATGATTTCGCGCACACCCACTAATACTAATTTATGCTAGGTGGGTGTGGCTAATGCTGAATGGGTGTGGCTTGTGGAACTTGTACCTGATGTCGTACATACCCACTAATACTGTAAAAATTATCGGCATACAGATAATTTGATGCTATGTAGGTGGGTGTGGTTTAGTTATAGAGCACCGGACAGTATAAGATTTTGTGTCTGGTGTGTTTTGTGTTTCTCTGCATGCAGTGTCATCCAGCCCGAGGCATTTGTTCCAGTTCACTTTTACGGACAGATAGTTCAGCACGAGGAGGGCTGTGCCATGCTGGATAAGATGGTTTGTCATTCTTTCCTTCTCCTCCTCCTCTCCCTCTCCCTTCTCCTCCTCCTCTCCCTCTTCCTTCTTCTCCTCCTCCTCTCCCTCTTCCTTCTCCTCCTCCTCCTCCTCTCCCTCTTCCTTCTTCTCCTCCTCTTCTCCCTCTTCCTTCTCCTCCTTCTCCTCTCCCTCTTCTTCTCCTCCTCTCCCTCTTCCTTCTTCTCCTCCTCCTCCTCTCCCTCTTCCTTCTTCTCCTCCTCCTCTCCCTCTTCCTTCTTCTCCTCCTCCTCTCCCTCTCCCTCCTCCTCCTCCTCCTCTCCCTCTTCCTTCTTCTCCTCCTCCTCCTCTCCCTCTTCCTTCTCCTCCTCCTCTCCCTCTTCCTTCTTCTTCTCCTCCTCTCCCTCTCCCTTCTTCTTGCATTACTTCCTTGCGACGCGGCCAGCCTCTGTAGTGTTGGACACAGTTAAGTCACTTCTTCCAGAGAAGCTATGGATGTAGATGCTTTTCTAAAGAGTCCGCATTGAGAGAAAAGTTTTCACTGGCTGTTTACAAACTTTTAAGCCCCTCCCCACGATTTAGTAAATTGTGTACATACGTAATGACCCTGCATAACCTCTGCGCCCCCCTCCCCCTCCCCCTCCCCCTCACGCACACACACAGGGCCATGTGAAGAAATTCTGTGAGGTAATCCAGCAGGACACTCCCGTCACAAAGGAGGACATCACGAGCTACAAGGCGGCCATCTGGGCACTGGGTCACATTGGCTCCACTCAGCAGGGGCTAGACCTACTCCTCACTGAGAACGCGGTGGAAGAGCTCATCGATCTAGCAGAAGACTGCCCTCTCCTTTCTATCAGAGGGTACGTACGTATGTGTCAAGAGTACATGATAGAACACGGAGGGAAGAAAGAGCGTATAACTCGGTGCTGGGCGGAATACCATTACTAATACATACATGTCACCAACTCAAAACGAAGGCAAACAAATCATCTACACTCGGGACAACCCAAAGAGAAGAGAAGAGCTGCCCTGGTGGCTCTGCAGTCTAGGCGAGCGCTCTACCAACTGAGGGCAGCTCGATCAGCTGGTGTCTATTAGAACGTCACCAGGAAATTTGGCGGGCAGAAGTGCGATTGATATTTCCATGTGTACTGAAAACATTATCACACTGCATGACAGTCTGCAGATAGAAATTTTGTGAACTCAGATTTCTTGGGCGTATATACTTTGTTTGCCAACAGGTTCCATGCTTGTTTTACACTATATATAGTACATCTTGTGCTAATGGAGATAAGTACAAAAGGGGAGATTTTGTGGGTACAAATGTGAATTTTTACAATGAAGCAAAATTGGTCCTATTATTGGGTAAACACCCTGGGACAATAATTTCTATAGAACCTGGAATAATTGGCAATTAGTGGGTCATCTGGACCTTTTTAGTTGTGAAGAGTGTCCTTATAATTATATAGCCACCTGTGGGGGGATGACAGTGTGTATTGTAAGGGAACCATGGGAGCATGGCTTGTGATGAATGGAGCTGGAAACCCCCTCACCTCCATTAGGAGCTACAAACTGGCGTGTGGGGGGCTAGGGGTAGCAATATTCTTTATTCTTAAGGCTTTAATCGGTGTGACGGTGTCTTTTTTGCTGGTGATTTTAACGGTCGTGGTGGTTGTTTGTTGTATATATATACTGCCTTCTGCTGTGGGTGTTCTCAGCCCATGTGCCGTGTTTGGAGTCTGGGGTCTGGGAACCGGATCTGCCCCTGGTGAAATTAGGTCTTGTGGTAGAGTAATGCACAGAAGAGTGCCATTTGTGTACAGTGGGAGCATTCCAAACTGTATCCGTTGTGTATGCAGTACAAGTGAAGTGTATTTCTTGTCAAGTTCCTCCTCCTCTTCCTCCCCTTCTTTCCTGGTCCATGCAACATCTGGAGGGTGTACATACATACCTGTATAAGCAATCTGCACGCGAATACACACTCACGAGCCAAGCTTACCTAGAAAGCTTGGCCGCACGTTGTGATCTTAACCTACCACTATTTTGAATATCTCTTACCCTTCTCCCTCCATTTTCTCCTATTTCTCCTGTCCCTCTCTCCATCTCTCTAGAACCTGCTACTACTCCCTGTGTCTCATCTCCAAGACAAAAGCCGGAGCCAATGTTCTCTTGGAAAACAACTGGATCACCGTCCAACACTCTGCCGAGGAAAAATGGCCGCTCATTTTCGACTCCAAACAGGAGCTGGACGACGCTGCGCCCTTCTCGCCGGACACTCGTCCCGTCCGATTCTTCCCTCCTCTCTTCGGCTCTTTCGATCTCAACAGCCTCCCGCGAACGTCTCGCCTCCCGAAAGCCTTGAGTTATCAAGTTCTCAACGCCCCATATTCCCGCTCCGAACACCATCTGGGATCCTCTCTCTCCCTCTCGGCTCACACGACCTCCTCCCTCAAGAAGGCGGACTCGGGAGGGGCAGGGGGCGGGGCCAGAAAAACCCCGCCTCCTCTGAGGGTCCTCGGAGTGCGAAAGCCGGGGAGAAAGCTGTTTGCGTCGGTGAAGGAGAGGGACCGAGGTAGGCGGAGCCCGAGTCTGTCTCGTTTGAGGGGGCGGAGCACGGCGGACATTCGAGGCCACGCCCACACGTTGGGTCTCGGGCAGAGCAGGGCCTACAGCATCAGTACTGGTGAACTTCTCTCTCCAGAACTCCACAAAGCCAGGTATTTGTACAATCACTTGGCGAGAAGGACAAGTGTGATTACTATTACCATATTAGGGTCCTTTGTGGATTGTCATTTAATTCAGATCACTAAGGTATACATAAAGTAGCTTTGATCAAGAATTTATCAAAGATGTAATAACCCCACTTTTGGCAAGCAAGCTCGTATTGACAATTTATGCGAAGATGTATATAGCATGCGTGGAAGAGACCTTCATGAACGAGATCATGACTGAGACATGTTCACTTCCATTGAAAGTATGAAAGTTGCGTGAAAACCATCGAATGTGTATGAAAGTTGCATGGTTTAAAAGGCTTTCTTCGCTTTCCAGTAATATTTTATACGTGCCCTCTCTCTCTCTCCTCTTCCTCACCTCCTTCAAGCAGCAGCCCACTTTCGTGTCTGCCTCAGACCCTCCCCCAGCCACTGCAGAGAGTCACCAGCCTTGGTCTGCCCCATCGCAGCAAGACCTCTGCAAACTCCACATTCTTCATTGGAGTGTGCATTCCCATCGAGATCTCCACCATGTTCGAGGTGGGGCTGTATGTATGTAGTTCGTCTGTCTGTGTGTGTGAGTGCGCATGTTTATGCATGTGGGTTCGTCTGTTCACTGTTTCAACATCATAATATTATGCATTAGTAATTCATTCGTCTGTTGCCCGGCGATGCTGGTCTCCGCGTCAGTCACGTTCTCCTGGCTGTTCCCGACGTGAAGGTGCAAAGTTCGCGGTGCATCCGGACTCGGTGTGGCATCGAGAGACTTGTCCTTACTTACATAAGACCCTCCGCCCGAACCTGCCGTGCTGCTTGTATGCGTTAGTAATGCATTTTTAGCAAGTGTATTATGCCTGCCCTTAGCAAATGGGAAGTACAGTAACCTAAACCTATTCCCGAACATATGGCTAGAAGGAAAAGTCCAAATGCTGGGGACATTTGGCCAACCCTGTAATTATTGAAGAATAGTTCTGCCGATAAAGACCACCTGTTCGGTAACCAATGCCTCCCTGAGCAGATGGAGAGGGGTTACTGCATCAGAGTATCGTTAGCCAATATCTTTCATCGGTAGGTGTACATACAACATGTATAGTCCAGCGGTGTAGTCTTGTAGTCTGTGTATAGGTTACGTGGGACAGGTGTTGTGGGCAGGTCTATTCATTCGCTATTGCAGGGGCTGGGTCGGTAAGAGCGTCAGATAGTACACGTACACACCTGGCTTGACGTGTTTGGGCGTTACATACGTACGTACGTACTGGACAATTTCTGGCCACTCCATTGACTTCTGGTATATAGGGTTTGTATGTAGCTTTGACGGGAAGTGCCTCACTAGACAAGCCCGAAAGTGCGTTTTTGTTGCCGAAATGGCTTTTCCAAATTCCGAGTAGCTGTGAGCCATTTATACGTACAGGTACCAATAATATATGTGCACGATGGAGATCTGTTTGTAAGGGTTGCGTCCCCTTGAGAGTTATCAAGTCTCTTATATACCTAAAACTAATTATTATCATTATTATAACAGAACTTTGTTTATTAGAATGCTGTAAGATAAACGTTGTCTCTTTGCTCCAGTATTCTGAGGAAGAATACAAGGGGTTCCGGACACGCACATGTTCTGCCCCCAATTTCGAGGTGGCGACCCTGCCCCACGACCCCGCCAGTTGCCTGGAATGCTCCCTCACCTACCGGCAACGCTCAAGCTCATCTCTCTCCTCTCTCCCCCAGCAGTCGCTGCTGGCCGGCCCCGCCCAATCCTCGGGCGGGTCCCACGGAACCGATACAAGCAGCACGGCAGGTTCGGGCGGAGGGTCTTATGTAAGTAAGGACAAGTCTCTCGATGCCACACCGAGTCCGGATGCACCGCGAACTTTGCACCTTCACGTCGGGAGCAGCCAGGAAAACGTGACTGACGGCGGAGACTCGTCTGATGGAGGGGGCGGTGCTAGGGGCGTGGCTTCAAACACGCCCAGAGACCGAGGACTCACGATGAAAGATCTCCCTGTTGGGGAGAAGAAACGTGGTTACACTAGCGGATCCCCACTGGTACGCATGAAGAAAATTCTCAGCGAGGAAAGAATCGAGGAGGTGGGGGCTGACGAGGAAGACGGTGATAAATTGACCAACGAAGTGATCGCCGTGTCAAGAGAGGAACGAAAACCTCGAGGGCGCTTGAAAGAACTCTCTGAAATGAGCGAGGGTGGAAATGGAGAGAGGGTGGGACCCGTGAAAGAACAAGGAGGTGAAGGTGCAGAGGATTCTGGAGTCATTAGACTTACCCCGCCTCTGGGAGATGGGGAAGAGTGTTTGGGGGAAGGTGGAGGTGGGGAGGAGGTGAGGGAGCGAGAGGAAGGAGACGAGGAGGGGAAGAGGATAACGGAAGAAGAAGGAGAGGGAGCAGACGAGAAGGTGGTTGAGGAGGGAGAGGAGGGGAAGAGGGAAGATGTGAAGCTGGGAGAAGAGGAAGAGGAGGGAGGGGAGGAGAAGAGGGAGGGAGATGAGGAGGGAGAGGACGGGATGACAACCGAGGACGACGAAACCGACGATGAGGAACTGGAGGGAGAGGAGGAAGAGGAGGAAGAAGGAGACGACAGTATCTCGCCAGTAAAAGAAATCCTCATCAATGTTGTCAGTGCAAGGTCGGTCACGATGCACATGCACGCAATCAGACACACACACGTGCACACAGCATCAACACCCGACACCTTTGGCAAGCAAGTGTCAAAACCTTTGAGAAACACCTTTTGCGTTTGTTTCAAATGTGAAATGTACACAGAAGTAGTATACATGTAGTAATTCAAGGAAGAACAAGTTCCCAAATTGCAACATATTTTGGAAAATGGGAGTTCCCACAACATAAATTGTGCCATCGACGACGTATAAAAAATTTGGAAGTGTATTGGCACTTTTCCACTCTCTTGGTAACAGTACAGCATAACACATGTCATCCTGAAACATTGGTGAATGTCTCGTACGTAACCCAGGCAACGGTGTAGGGATCGTGTGATGTGTTCGGGCATATCAGCGTGGTCACAATTGGTTTCTAAACTCTGCTTCATACATATATACCACCCGACATCTTCCTTTTTGTGTAATCCTCGAAATTTACGGCCTCCCACTCTCTCTCTCTCTCTCTGTGTGTACAGTGCCAGGTCTAATAAGGACTCGGTGGCAGCAGTGGAAGGCGGGGCAGCAGATGATGCAGTCAGCGTGTCATCTGTGCTGACTACTCAGTCGACTGATCTGGAGCCCGCTCTCAGCGGTCGACACGCGCTCCACAAGGCTGTCCTGGAGATCATCTATAGTCTCAGTAGTGACGTCAGTCTCAAGAAAAACAGCCAGGGACTCAACCAGTGAGCTACACCTCACTATCATTATTATACCATATTATACCATTATTATAGCATAATTATTGTAGCCATAATATTATAGCATATTGTATACCATATTATACCGTAGCCAGAAACTTTCGAGGGAGATAACTAGCATTTTTCTGTGAACTCCACGGAGAAAAAAATTGCTGGTCCCGCAAAAATGCCCCCACCTTCAAAATTTCGCTGACAAAACTTTTGCGGATGGCTAAGAAAAATTGCGAAAGATGCGAAGGTTTTTTCACTGGAAAGCTTCCCGCTATACAAAGTTCCTTGGCACATGGCAGTGGACCACCTCAATAATGGCATTCCTTGTTGTATTACGTATTTCATACATCACATACTTTTGCAATAATTAGTATTGCATCTGAGTGATTTGGCCGATCGAAAATCACCCAAACTTCCACCAAATGCTGAGATTTTAGTGCCCAACTTCAGCTAGTGTGCAAATCTTCAATGGTAGTGCTAGTGCTGTTTGTGCCTCACATTGTACTTTGGATGGGAGTTTTTACCATTGGTCCTGGCCACTGGCAGTAAGGTGCCAGTGGTAATTAAATTACTGTGGTCCCCCAACCCACCTGCCTCTGTAAGGAGAGCTCCCTTTGATTATTTGGCAATTACTGCCTTCTACTGGCCAACATCCCAACACCTGTGGCCCTCTGGATCTTTGACCTTGTTTTGTTCCTGTATAGCTCTACCCACTTCCTCCGAATCTGGTGTTTCTCTTCTAACCACAAATAGTATCAGATTATGTGTGAGACAACACATGTATTATCTCAGTTAACTATTTCACAGAAATTGAGGCAACATCATTTTGAGACTCAACTTGTTAGTCTGAATTGCTTCTCACGCTTGCATCATGGGACCCTAATGCCTGCAATGTATGCAGGCATGTGGATATAGTTCCAATTGTGTTGAGGGGAAGCACTTTTATTAACAACTAAAGGTACCTTTGTTTGGTTGTGGGGAATTAACTAGTAGCGGGTATACCAAGAAATCGTGTACCAGTTGGTGGTGGTGAGTTATTGCGTGTCTGTTTCAGTTGCAGTTCAGTTGGTTTGTGTACATCTCTTGGACACACAGTTTGTAATGAATACCCTTGGGGAAGAGCCGGCTAACGAGGAGGAGGCGTAGGTTAGGATGTTGCTAGCTATAGTAGGCAGATCGCTAGGCACGTGTGTGAAAGAACCAGCTGACTTTCAGTTACAGCTTCTAAAGGTGGAGCATTATTATCCCTATTCATGTAATATTTATGAGTAATTCCTCGTGATATATACAGTTCTCATAATGCTAGACTTTTTTATATGGAAATTTGAGAAAGGATTTTGCCATGTGTATTGTATGGGATTCTAATGTCAGACCAACACTGAGTGTTGGATTAGCATACAGGTATACGAAATAATAGAAGATCCTCTGTTGTGGTTTAATGCGACAAAGCGCGCAACAGAGTGAAGGGCAATTTGACTGAATGACCATCTGAGACAAAGCTGGAATGGCTCCATGTTATAATTATCTCTGATGCATTACCCCAACAGTGGCGCCACAGCATTCAGGAGCTGGAGGTTTTGGCAGCTTACACATGCAGCAAAGAAGTACATACAAAAGCTTAAGGGTTCCTACATGGATTTTTCTCTGTGGAGGAGAGTTAGCTGGGTTCTAGAAAGGTTAAGTGGGAGTTTGGGGCCTGGGAACTGTTGGCTTCAGTACTGTAAGTGCCCCCTTCCCCCCTGTGGTTGATAGCTAATTCAATTAGATAGTGCTTAAGAAAACAGCTCTGACCTATAGACAGGTTTAGCTTGAGAGCACTGTGGTAGAGCCTGCAGAGCGACCTAAAGCTTTGGTTTGAGTCTGCAGTAGGAGCATAGACACGGAGAACCAAGTTTTGAACTTTGAAAATCCTCTCTTTCTCTTCCTATCTGTTCTCCACACCACCCTTCCATGTTTTTACTTCTTTCTTGGCCACTAAAGAACACCACTATGAATAATTATACATCTCCCTCTCAATGATGCCGTAGAGTGTGTCAGAAGTACACTGAGCTGGGAGACGACTTGTGTCTCTATTCCAAAGTGGTGGACATGTTCTCGACCTACCACTACAACCTCCTCACTCGCAGGTTCATACAGTCCAAGTTCCAACACATGACCTACGACCCAGTGAGTTTGAGTTGAACACACTTGAGACCAAAATGATTATTATTACTTGTGTGGAAGCAGTTTGTACTGTATATGTCCCAGTGTTAAAACAGGTAGGGGAGCGTATGCTACTGTATGGGCGAAAAAGGTATCATCAAAGATGGGGGGGAGAGTGTTTGGGTTTGCTGTGTAGCTAAGATATATTGAGATTTAAGGGTGTGGATCATCTTTAGTTGGAAGAGAGAGGGGGAAGGGGCAGACAAAGAGAGAGGACGGAAGGACTTAGGCTTATCACCTAGCCAAAGTTCCGGTGGTTCTATTGTGGTATGCTGCCCACTAATCAGCCCTTACCCATTGCATTGCATTTCACTCCACTCTCTTGCAAACCTCTCTTGCTGGTGCAGTAACTATACTTCTTTCAACTACAGTGCTCATTGCTAGCTTCCCTCCTACACAAGGTGGTGGTCTATGGGCTGTGGGTGGACTGTCCCACATCTTTGTTGTGATGAACTGTTTCAACCTCAAGGCTAATTGGTGGCCAGATGCCATGCATTCTTAGGAGTCTTCCACACTGAGGAGGCAGGCTAAGGACAAGCGACACTCTCAAATATGGTCAAAACAATGGCTAGGGAATGAGTTAGAGGTAGAGTGGAAGTGGCAGGTTTACAGGTTAGGTATACTGCAGGACATGGGGGGTTGGTTGTGGCTAAGCCCACAGTGAGTTCAAGCCAGAAACCTTGCAACCAGAAGTACTGTTCTTGTAGTAAAAACTCCTTGGAAGGTGAAAGGCCTTTGAGAGTTGTTCTGGGTTGTCAGTGGGAAATATGGTACCCTTTCCCTTTTTGTGCTAAAATAATTATATTATATGAACCAACAATTCTAAATACACTTTCACAAATTCGGTGCTCACAAACAACACTAAAGAATAATATTATAGGTTTACCATTGTTGAGAATTCCATGGTAACAGTTTACTTTCATTCTCCAACAAACCCTGCACATGGACTTATACCAAACAAGACCAAAAGTATATACCACCAGTCTTGAAGCAAAATAGCTACAAAAAATGAAAATTGCCTGATGGGTGGCAAAGCTGTAGATCAAAAACAACAAAAAAAGTCTACATATTATTTGAGGCAGAAGGTTACACACCATTACACACAGATTATGCTAAACACTGGCTCTGAGGGATGTTGCCCACTCTGGGGGATGGGCTAAGCTACAAATAGCCCCAACCAAAGTGCTGAAAAGACTGGAATCTTGATTCAATTACTCTCTCACTGCTACTACCACCGCAATGGATGGCTCTTTAGTGTCCTGAGTGTGGCCTTGCTCAGCTTCTGAAGGCTGCTATTGGTACTTTCTTCCTTGCAGTTTTTTGCAGGGGTAGTTCTCCTTCATGAGCTCTGGATAATGTATAGCTCAGTCTTAGCTCACTAGTCATCTAAACCTCTGAAAGCACCTCCCCCTAAGCTTTTTTAGCTTGGAAATCAGCACATTAGCTGTTGGCTTGTGCAAGGCACAAGAAAGTTGGAAATGTGTTCTATCTGCGTGACTTAGAGAGTCTGGGTATAGTTTTAATTGTTCCTCTGCTATGCCCTGTACCATCAGCGCGAAAGCTGATGTGAAGGCTGGATGTGTGACGTAGAACTGCAAGAAAGTGTTCTATCAGAGTCTGGGTATAGTTTTAATTTATGCCCTGTAATAGAACTGCAAGGAAGCATTATATAACGGCAGTCCAATGCACAGTCCTCAGCCAGCCAGTCTAAGAGGCAGTGAAAGGCACAGCAGATGGCCCTGCTGAACCCTTGAATGTGTGCTTAGAATAGGCTTTCCTGTTTTCTCCTAAGAGGGCCAGACAATGCGGCAGTATCTAGTAGGAAGAATTCACTAGGGCATTCCAGGCCACATCCTCTGACTCTGCATACCTCTAGGGTGAGCTACTCTCCCTGCAAGCACAGACTATTAGCTTACTGTGTGTCTAAGGTAGCATGCCTACCTTGTAGGGCAAGCTAACTCTCTCATACTAATTATCCATTTCCTCAGGATGCTTGCACCTTGTACTTTCATGGTAGTGTGTGTTGCAAAGTATGATTGCGGTTGCAGTTGGGCACACATGCAGGCACATTATACACTGGTACAAAGGGGGAAGCTGAGAAAACAGATCAATAGTTGACTGTAATCCGAGTAACTATAGTGCATGCATTCCCTAGTACACACACACACACCGCGCTACTTTGTCAACAAACAGTCAACAGAAATATTTAGTGCACACAAAATTATAGGCTTTGGTAGCTATGGGTACGAACGATGCAGTGCATGAGTAAAGTCCAGTTTTTGATTAAAGATTTGTAAAGCTAGACATATTACGCATACTCTGTGTCGCTCAACTACACGAGGGAGTTTAAACAAAAAAATCTTTGCTCTCTCCTATTTTACGATGATACAGCTATTTGCAGCAAAGACTGGAGTTGAAGATCCCTTCGTGGAGGACGACCTGATGTCGTCGTCTACAGCCAGCAGTCGGAGAGAGAGCTACTGTAGCACGGAGGGGGGAGGAGGAGCGGCGGGGGAGGTAGGGAGGTGGAGGAGCAGCAGCAGCACTAGCGACGCACTTCGCTTCCGGCAGCGTATGCAACAGACGTCGAGCCACGAGGAGGCCCCTAGTAATCTTCAAGAAGAGGGCCCCGTGAGGCAAAACTCATCGACGTCGTCTTCCACGGCAGTGGCAGCGAGTGGGGAAAGTCAGTCGAACGAATCGCGGAGAACCGAACCAGAAATCAAAATCATTGCTGCTTCAGTGAGTAGCCATGAGAGTACTGACTCATCTAGAACAACTCCAGGTACTAGTAAATCATCAGGGAAAAGAGCAACTAGCACAGAGAGTCATAGAGACAAGAGCCCTCCAATAGAAGTAGAGGATAGTGGCAAACCCCCGTCATCTACAAGACACTCTGCCGCAGACAAAGTTCTCAGTAACCAGACCACAACTACACGGCACAATGGGAGCCGAAGCAGCAGTGAGGTGCGGTACGGGGAGGATGGAAGAGGAGGAGGAGGAGGAGGAGGGAGAGATACCAGCAACGTTGATACACACAGCCCCATTGAAAAAGAACCCTATGATTTGTAAATAAACACAATAGCTCTCTAGCGTCTTTTTTAAAATTGGATCTCATTATTATTATTATTATAGAGCTATATGTTTTAGTTTCTTGCAAGTTTAATTCAAATGAATCATTTTTTCTGCTTGACTACTGTGGCATTGATTCGCAGTGTGCAGTGAAGCTCGGTATCATGTCCACCATTATAATTTAAATTGCGTGACTTCTGCACTTTTCTTCAATGTACTGTATTGACATTATTGTTGTGAAAAACCTTCAAACCTGATAAATTGTGTGTGTTATACTTCCACCAACTTTGTTTGCATGTGCAAAGTGTGCGGGAAAGTCGTATATATATACAGCATTGCCCCGAGAGAGCAGCACTGCTAAAAAACATTTCTATGTTGCCCAATAGTTTCAGTACAGAATTCGGAACTTTGAAAAAAATTAATTTACTGATGAAAAATGCAGGGACAAGAACAAAGTCTCTAGTCTGGCAGTTATTTGACAGATTCTAGCATCTTATCCCTAGTTATGACAGAGTCTTCAAACTTTATCTCAAAGGCTGTGGTAGAAGGCTGGTCTTTCAGAGCAAATGCCCTCACCTTGCAAGCCTGCGTGCAGTATTATACAGCTACATTGAGTAAACATCCGGACATTAGGTAGCCCCAGGCCTTACAGATAAAAGAAGGGTCACTCAATTATTTCAGCGTCTGAAACTGTAAGTGAGGCTGTTAGCTTTACTAATTGTGTCTCCCTAGCATATTGTTACAGTGTGAATGCGCTAATCTAGGCACCCATAGGAAAGAAATTGGCAGGTCTCCTCATTTAGGGGTGAAGAGCTATTCTTGTGGAAACTGTCAGCTTTGTTAGTGTGATCAGCTATCTGCCTGTGGAATAGGGCATCAGTGTTTCAAACAAGGGCAGATGCTAGGGGAAAGACCAGTAGGTTATCTGGAGCTGGTGCTGAGAGTAACTCACAAACTGTGTCCCATTCAAGAAGCCTTCAATGATACCAGCCACAAAGGCTGCACAGTTTAGACTGCCTGTGGGAGGGGAGACCACAGGATAGAGATTAGCTCCCTGGCACATTCCCCAACCTATTACAACCCCAAAGGTGCTGGTAGTTTAGCTCTAGCTTCTCCCTGCAATAGAAAGACATTGGGGGCTCTCTGTAGGGTAGTTCTCTGCAGTATTCTAAAGGTTTGAACCCTTATCTCCTACCCTACCCATACAATATGAGACTTCGGGGTCTAATAATAAAAAAACACCACGACATCAGGTAGCTATGTGCTGAAACTTTGAAGGGTGTGTTTAAAACAGGCTCCATTAACTGTAAAGTTCGCGAAAGTGTTCTCCGTTGAATGATCCTTAGATCTGAGCATTCTGATACTTACTTTGATCCTTTGGCACCGAAATGAACCTGTTGACGACAGGGTCATCTTCGAACAGATAGACTGAACGGAAGGTCAGGCATAATATAACAGCCACTTTGGAAACAGATTGAAAGAACCGTAACAGCATAATGAGCCTCCTTAGCCTACAAACATTGGCTATCCATCACAGATTGCTTTCCCAGCTCCCACCCATCCTTGAAACAGGGTAGACCTCATCAAAAGAACTTTGATGATAGTGACATATCCACCAGAGCCTAAGAAGCATCGTGTATATATCGTAGTATAAGAACTTAGGCTAGCTATGAAAAAATTTGCTGCATTGCAGTGAGCAACGATTAGCCATTTGCGACGGTTAAAACGTGAAGATAGCTACTGTGCTGCGAAAAAAGCTTCACAAAAATAGTAGAGTCCGGCTCGAACAATTCTGAAGCTCTTCCAGAATACTCTGTTTAAAACCTCTGCAACAATACCACCACAAAAATTACCACACCACAAAAATTATAGAATTTGCGATTTGCATAGCTCCTTGCATGCTGCTTTGGTTGCATCATTGATCAAGAATGCCGCAACAATCGAGCGGTCATTTGTCTCAAAAAGGCTCACATCCGTATAGCAACTGTAATAATATCCGAGTGGAAATAGCATGCCGACTGTTGATGCAACGAAACGCAACATTCTTCCCATTCCCACAGACACACATTCCTGATTGGTGGAAAGTGAACCGCAATAGAATGCAGCCAGGAAATGTACTTGGTGGATATAGCTAGGATTCCAAGACCAATTCCTACGCCATGTGTTAGCCGTATACTTCAAAGAGATCCACCATCCGTGTAATTCCTAACTACTCTTATGCCGCTAGTTATGACATTATTAATCATCTTAGAGACCTGGAGACCATCTCAATAGATACTAGATACAGGAGCTTTCTAGTATATGCTATGTAATTTGATTCATAAACACATCTCCTACCACAGAACTATTTCACAATAGACAGTGAAAAATACCCTCTGAATAGAGGCCACCTCTCTTTAAAGTTCACTTGTTTCTGCCCCATACTAATATGTTAGTGTTTTATATTACCTTCGAATAAGGGGAACCTTCAATAAAGATGGACTCAAGTGGACTAAATTTCATACAGTTAAATCCACTACTCTTAAGCCTGTAGCTATTGTGGATACAGGTTGATTCACTGGCAGTGGCTTGCTCAAGTCGATCAGCTTCCTTGTAGAACAGTGTCTAGGGGAAGGCAATATGTTGGGGAAGTGATACTTTCAACATACCCAATTGCAAGTGACAAAACACAAATACAGATGTTGCTTCATTCTAACAAACATGAGGAAAACAAGAATTTGCAACCCTGGCTACATATTTCCAGTCAAGTACTGCCTCAAGGGAAATGCTATAAGGAAGTTTGGGAGAAGGTTCTTTCCAACTAGGAGAAACGCCAGTCAGTCTACAGTCCAACATACTACAGCAGACCACTATCATCAACTGCAGGATCAAGTTTCAAAGACGCTACCAGGCCTTAGCTGACAATATCAATGGGGTGACCCCTCTATAATAACAAGATTCACAGGTTCCAGGTAAGGGGAAACCTTGGCCATGAAAACCAGAGAAAGATCTTTTTTGGCAGTGGATGTGATATAGCAGTAGATGGAGCTCACAGACCCAGCCAAAATCTTTCCCATACTTCACAGTGGGAGCCCCTAATGCAGGGTGATCACCCTATGTCTGCTGCATACATATTGAGAAGTAAAATACAATCAAAAAGGCAGGGGGACAGATGTGGTAAAGTATAATTGCGCTTGCTTCTACCTTTTTAGAACCCATAGACACAGTAGGTCGTCATTTGAAAGGATACAGTGTCCAATAGGCATAGATAAAGTATGTCAAGACAGGTGAAATCAGCAGCAAGAGTGTTTAAGCTAAACTGGACAGTAACACACCAGCAGGAGCAGAGCCACTATCCCATAGCAGACACCAGAAAACTCAGCCAGCCTCCCTCCTGGCCGCTCTCTTACCCTCACACAGAGCAAACCAAATTACTGCAAGCCACAACTGTTTTAACCAAAGCTTATTGTCTTCTGACAACACTAAGCCAGCAGCAGCGGCGCTGTGGGTGGCTGGCATTAGTCCACTACTAGAGCAGGATCTCTTAGAGTGCTATAGAAAACAGAGCTCCACACCCCATGTCCACTCCCTTGCAGAAATCCCACGGCCTAGTGCCCACACAAGTGAGTGAAATTGGAGAAGAGAGAGATGAGGGGGTGGTGCGAAGGGGCAGTTTCATTTGTACTGTTTTATAGGACCACATGCACAAATAACCCAGAGCTTGACTGCCCCACCTGTTTCCAAGGAGGGGTTGGCTCAGCTAGCCCCCTAATTTACAGCGAAAATTGCATTATGGTGCTAGAGAGTGTAGATAACTCTAATGAAGTTGCTATTAATGATAAACAAATGCAGCTTGACCATAGCGCTCAGTTTAGTCTGGTTGGTATCACTCAGCCTGACATTGCTGGTAATAATATGCCCAGTGACGTGCACAGTGATATGCCTGTGGTGCTATAAGATAATTCAGGCCACAGGTATAGAGTATACCAAAACTGTAGCAAATTGAGCAAAGATTAGAGACTGTTTGTTACATCACTCTAAAAGCCCTGCCATTTCCGCCCTACAGACTCATAATCTACCAAGATCTAGCAGACTGAGGCTAACTTCAAAGGAGAGCAGAGTTCCCTATGTACTTAGTGGCCAGCCTGAGTCAGACACCACTACAACCTACAGACACCACTACAACCTACAGATGAGGGAGAAAGATTTTTTCCTGGAAAACATCAACATGGCAAATTTCTAGGTGAGTAGAGGGAGGCTGGAGGCTGGAGGGAAAAGTATATAACTACATGTGGGTGATGAGCCTCACCTTCCAAAGGGTCTTCTGGATGTAGAGGAGGTGGTTGACGAGTCTTGTCTCCCTCTTGGGAGTCTTTTCTCTGAGACACAGGACATCAATCATCCTGAAGCCAGCGTGTTTTCCCAGATCACTCAGCCTGTGGAGTCACACACAGCAGTGACACTAAGCACATGTGGTGTGCCAATCATCGTATTATATAGAACACTAGGTACAGTACGAATCTACTCTATGCATGGGATGATTAACAGTACCCAGTTAGCAGCTAGGATTTCAACTGAAGCAGCTGCATTGAGGACTATGATGAGTAGTTAGGATAGGGAGAGAGGGCCCCTTCAGTGGGTTAAGACGGGCATAACTCTCCCAGGCTCATAGGAGGGCTGGACAAGACACACAATGGGGGGAGTGCCTTCAACAATAGACAGACAATTAGTGGGGCAGTCCCTGCAATCAGTTCAAAAGGGGCCAACCCTGCCTTCAATATCACAGCATATTAATTATCACCCTGCTTGATATGTATCCAGGAGTGCCTTTGTAGAGCCAAGCTCTGCCACTGGTCTAATTCTACAGATGGAGACAGTGAAAGTGGCCACCTCTTCTGCTATGGCGTAGGATTACAAGAACTCATGTGTAGTGGTTCAACATGGTCCGGGTTTTCATTTTTTTTCTGAATTATATTTTTCCTGACTTACTGAGATTTCTAAAGTCAGGTAATCATACTGCTTGACTTAAGATTTCTGTAGGTGCCCAAGAGTAAACTAAAGCCCATTATTGCTGTATCGCTGATCCATTACAGGTATAGTAAAGTCCCTGTAAAGGCCCCATCCCGGGAGTTTGTATAATTACAGGGGCTGACTTCTCATGGAGCTGGGAGAGAGAGGTGACCCTTCCATGGCTGTATTGCACTATCTCCGAGAAGAGAAAGGCATAAGTGCTGAGGTTAACCTGTGGAAGCGGGGAAGAGGAGAGGTGAGAGAGAAAAAATTACCGTTCATTGGTAGGCTTGTTACGTACAAGCGTGATCGAAAACGCAAACGTATAGTTTCGTAGAGCAGTCAGTGTCATTACTCTACATATGGACCTACTTCCAGCTTCCCTTTGGAGGACAGTGGCTTGTCATACAGTGTCTCAGCTGCCCGTTTCCCTCGAGTCGTCATTACACCCGCCTCGTCTCTCTGCCGTCAACAAGGGGTTAAATTCCGCGAACGGGCGATCGCGTTTACAATGACGTCACATCGGCAATCGGTTTGCAAAATACTGGAATGGAAAGTAGTCACCTCAGTCAACAGGCGCTGAAACGTCTTATAAATGGTCGCGCAATTCTACTGTCTGCAGTCTGCGAAAAGCTGGCTGTAAACATTAGATGTTGCAGTTGACGAGAGAAGATCCTTTTCCGAACAGTTTTCGGCGTCGCTTCGGCCGCACTCTGACCAACTCAGAAGCATACAGCTGTTTCGAAACCTGGGTCCCTATTCAGGCCACTGCTGCTATATAAAGCCGTGGGGAGCGCGAGCAGCACTACTCTGCGACCTGATCGAAGGCGGCCCGGGCGCGCGCGCTCGCGGTTTCCGCTCTTTTTTGCGAAGGCGATTCATTAGTAGCAAATTGCGAGGAGACCACCTCTAGTCTTGCTCCGAACGTGCCGGTTTAGTGGTGGTGGTGGTCAGTCCAGATCACAGCGGAAGAAGTCACGCGGAGCACCGTGTAAGTGTTTTTTCTTCGCGAAATAGCTACTCGAGCACAGCAGCGCACGCACTGTGTTGTTGGTGTTTATGCTGTCACAAATCATAACTCTTTGCTTTTGTTTCGTGCTCCAGGCAGGGTATATATAGCTCCGGAGCTACGACTTCGACACTTCTTCGTCGACTCGGTGAGACCCCGGCTCCGGTGCAGCCTTACACGCTACCTACAACGGAGGACGGCGGAAGATTGTAATTAGCAGCGGGAGGGGTAGGGGTTCGCGAAATATCGATCACCGCTGACACTTGATGCAGAGGACTGTAAGAATCCTAGAGCATGTCAGTGGTGGTCGGTGTTTTGTGGAACATCTACCTTGTCCCTCGCCTGAGGGCCTGAGGAAACTCCGACTGCACACGTTGTCGTTGTCTGCGCCTATTGACGTAATGAAGGGGGCAGCAACATTTCGAAAGGGAATTGTGAAAGGTTTCATAATTGAGCACTGGGGTATGTACAGATGGTTAAATGTTAGTGAACCTTCTTTATCAGCAAAAGCTTCCTCCTTCTCTTTTGTGCCTGCAAGATATTTTTTTCAATGGGATGGATGATCTTTGGTGCCATATCTGGGCTTAGCTCCATTGGCTAACAAACTGAAGTTGTTTTGCAGAAGTACGGTGGTGTTATTATTGCGTATAACTACAATATTTCCCATTTCAGCCCATGTGCTTTTTCCGATTTGGCTGGGGGTTGTGCAGAGGCACGTGGGGAAATATCGTTATTTTGGAGAGCCAAGTCCGTTATTTTGAGACCGCTGGTATTATGAGATTACTGAGATTACGCCATAGGCAGGAAAGCCTGTGGCTGGAGTGTGCTGAGGTAATGGGGCTGGAAACCCTCCTGGGTGTCCTGTGCCTTGCTAATCCAATTGTGACTGTGTTTTTGGTTGTCAGTGTGCCCTGCAAGTGTAAACTCTGGTCTGCTAATCTGTTTGTGAGCTAGCTTAGTGGTTTCTCAACTTCTCTGGGTGGTTCTTCTTCTAGAGGCATTTCTCAAAAGTCTTCTTCCATAATGATGGTGGTGGAAATCCGCCAGTGTAACATTATGTTCTATTAATAAAGGAGCTGAAACAGGGTCTACCCCTACAACAGTATATACCTTATAATAAAGGAGCTAAAACAGAGTGTTTAGTCTGCAAGCACCACAATCATCTTTGCCTGGAGGTAGAAAAGACACTGCTTATAGTTACCTCAGATAGACAACTATGGTACAAATTTTTTAATGATGCCAAGCACCCATGAAATGGCAACAGCCAACTTCCAGAATCACCCTAAAAGTTACGCGCAAGGCAGTTCAGGAAAATTTTGGTATATACATTGTAGTTGCTTTTGTTATTGCTAATTCTCCAATTGTTTGACAATTTTGTAAGTGGTGAGGGGCTCAGCTACAGATATGATAGTCATTATGAGCACTGTGCATGTATTAGGCCCACAAGAAATATGGATATGAGCCTACCTATCCTTATTTAGGCAGCTTGTGCTGCAGAATTAGTGTATTATTGACTTGTTCATCTCATTTCATGCGGATGGCTTATGGATGGCTTATTAATAGGGGCCTTAAAAAAGGGCCAATGACATTTATTGCTGATGCTTGACCAAGTTTAATGAGCACCAACACCCAATCAATACCTATTTCCACCCCTGTAATCACCTTCTGCGCACCTCAACTTTTAGTTAGACAAAACCCCAAGAGGTATTATAGATGTCTAAGATTAGAGTGTACACACTGCAGTGGATAGATGCGAAAATGCTATAATACTGAGTTCCCAGTGATCACTGACCTGTTGGCGCTGAGTTTTTAGCTCTATATTATAGCAATGGGGTTGAAACTTGGTTTGGAACTGAATCTACGATAGTTTCTGGTGATACCTCCAGCACTCCAGCCATGTACCATTGCTTGGCAGCAGTCTTGGCATATTCAGCCCTCTTCCCCACCAGCTAGCCCGGTCATTTCATCACACCAGTGTAGACCGCAGTAGTACTGCAGAATGAATGACGAAAAATTTCACTACCTGTCCTTGTCTTTGTGGTTTCAGGCATGCAAGCAATACGTCTAGTTTATATAAACCTGTCTGTTTCCAGGACAACAATTCGAAACTATGTCTCCTCAACTGCAAAAATGCTTAGTGCAACATAAAGTTTTCTTTGCTGCCCCTGAATAAAGGAAGGCATGGAATAAAGTAAGGAAGACATGGAAGGAAGTGTAAGGGGTTTGGTTGTCCTCAAGTACAGAGTTCCACCATGATCCAGCCATGTGGAGCCAGGCAGTGCAGAGTTCAGGAGGCTTGTGAGCCCTGCATTATAGTGCATTATAAGACTCTCTCTTGCAGCCCTGCCTACGCCCTCCTGTGTGACTGCAATTATGTGATTTGTAAGGGCCCAAGTGGCCCGCAGTTGCCAGGCTTGTCTTCTCACACATGCCCCCTTTTGTTATCCCTCCCCTAATCGCTGCACACCTAATAGAGGTATACTTATATACCCAGTAAGAAGATAGGCCTATACTCATAGAGGCCATTCAAAGGAGATACTTGCAACACCCAACACCTGTATTAGTTACGTAAAATGAAAGATGAAGTGTTTTGCTGCCAGTGTGTGTTGGATAAGCCAGGAGCACTATAACGAGTGTTTTGCATGCCACAAAACAGCATGAACTCCGGACCATGACACACAAGTGAACGGCAGTAAAACAATTACAGCCGTGTTGAAAACTATAATTAATCATCTCTTACTGTGTTAGCTGAATGGTTTGGTAAATCCTTGTAAAAAAAGGAAAACGAAATCCGGCTAGCACTCGTTTTCTTTGGCTTCATGTTATGATTTTGGTCGTGGATCATTATTAAGTCGATACCTTTCGGTGCTGATGTTTTATTGAGCTCACTTTCAAGTAAGAAATGATAATAATTATAATACAGTTATGCTAAAAAAGTTGCAATACTTAGAATGTATTGCTTTTTGTCACTTTAGGTGAGATACCTACAGTATAATAATATGCTCAGGTCCATGATAGAATACCTTTGAAGTAAAAGCCCCTGTAATATAAGTGGTAAATGAGAGTGAAAAATTGGGTGCTACTCTGATGTGAAGGACCACATAATGCACAGTGGTAACTCCTCCATATGAATGAACAGAGTACTCCAGACACGCGGCTGGCACTGAGCCACCACGTCGAGAAGCAAAGGGCCGGTGTGGCAGGCAGGCAGGCAGGCAGGCAGCTTCACTTATGCATTGATACCGTATGCATCCGTGGCGTGGATCAGTGTATTAAAGATGGGTAACCTCTATTGTCAGTGAATTGAAGAAGGGGGTCAACTGTGTTGTGGGTAGTTGATGTGCATGGACACCCTACCCTTAGAGACAGGGTTTAAATGTGTGGTACATGTTTATCCATTTGCTACTTCATACCTAACAACCTGCAGATGAACCTTTGCTTGAGAAATGTGTCAAATTTGCTTGATTTGGAGTATTTTTGCTTGAAAATGCTGCATGTCCATTCAAAATGTATAGGCATGATGCATCACAGGTTAGCACAAAAAAGAGGGATTTGGTGGAGGGATAGGCAGTATTTTTGCTTGATTATCAAGCAATAAGCGGGATGGTTGGTAGGTATGCTACTTGCTGAGCAAATTGTGAATTGGCTGCTGAGATTACGTACTCCTTGAAATTTGAATAATCGTACTCTTTAAAAATACTCTGTTAGTAGCTTAGTTAACAGTTAGTATGGTGTAGTGGTCCTTGGTACTTTGCTAAGTAAATCTTGCCTTTGACGGTTCCACTTTGGCTAACAGTACATAATATAATATACCTTCTTTGTCGATGGAGGACACCAAAGGGGGGCTAAATTTGTTGATGGGAACTTAGTAGAAGTAGAGTTCCATGGCTCGTGTTTGTACTAGAAGAAAATGTGTGTGTCCGCAACAGATTACATTGGTCTGTGTTTGTCGTAGAAAAGTGAGTTTGCAAAGAGGGAAAATGTCTGATTGTGAGAATATCACAGAGGGGCAGAGAACCCCTCCGCCTCTCTTTGTGGAATTTAAGGTGAGTAAATGTTAAGATCATTTTACCATTTTAAAGTGTATACTGTCATGGGTGTAAACAGCAACGAGGTCTGAAGTTTAGAGTTGTAAGGTGCCAATCGATTCAAATCCACACTACCCCTGCTGTGCATACATGAAATGCAGGGGTAATAACAGTAGGGTGCCTAGCAAAGTGTGACTCTAAAAGCAGATGAGTGTTCTGATGGAAAATATGACATGTTGTGTAAGTTATGGGTCTTTGACCAAAACAACAGTGTTCCATCTTAGTTGGCATGAAGGAGAATAACAACAGTGTTCCATCTTAGTTGGCATGAAGGAGAATAACAACAGTGTTCCGTCGATGGGCTTAGTTGGCATGTAGGAGCAAAACAACAAGCAAGCAAGCCTTCCTTTCCCTAGTGCAAGGTTGAGTGTCCTTCATGTGAATATCTTCTGCAGCATTTTATTGTGACAGAGACAATTTTGCCACATACAGCCTTGCGGCTACTCACCAAGGGTTAGCCAGCCTGACGAACAAGATTAGATAGTCCAATGCAAACAGATGTTGGCCCCCCTATTCGGCATAGAGATGGAGAGAAATGGGAGGGAATCTTCAGTATTCAGGGACGATACAAGGGACATGGGGAATTGGCCGCTGTTGTCTCTCCCAATCAGCCTGTTTAGCTCAACACACTGCGAAGATGTGTCAACAAGATTTGATAGCACGTAAAATGCAAACATTGCGAAACGTACAACCCTCCCCACAAATGGCTACCAGATTGACGGAGAGAATGAATCAAAGAGGGTGATGAAAGAGAGCGTTGAAGAGAGCCTCATAAGTGAGCCCTGCCCATTGCTGATGAGCCTTTCCTTCCTTCCAGTGTCATGTTTTGTTTCATTCACGTCCCATAATACATGAAAGATTTCCTGGCGGGATCGATGTCTCATAAGTGCCCTGTGACCTGTGATTTTTAAGTTGTGTGTATTTCGCCCCCAAATTACAAACTGTGTGATGTGCAAACATCGTATTTCCTATGCACACACACACACTTAGACCGACAGTCACTACATATAATCTTTAGAGGCAGAAATGGCCACAGCGTGTTGTGCATTTTTCGCTGTTGAATTTCGTGACTATCAGCCAAATTGCTTATGCCCTTGGATACCATGGGCCAAATTTGTCCACTCTGACTGGACGGTTGGTTACCCCCTCTGTTATGTCATCCCAGTGACCCAATTACTGGTGGTTCTCTCAGGGACCTGAGGTCCAAATAGGATGTACTCTCATGTTCAACCCTGGCATCATTATTAAGTCCACTGAACAGTTGTGTGCAACAAGCTCCAACACAGACGACATCATTTTGGCTATTGATCGGATTTTATCGCTGTCAATGCGTTTTTGCACCAGACGTGCATAAAACCACACAATCACGTGGCTTTTTAGTGGGAGCGTGCGGCTATTAATGGGACAGGGAGCGAGTGCCAAGCCGAGCTGGCTGGATTTGGTGGTGTGGCGAAACTTCTGTCTAGAGGTTTAAAGCGGGGACTTGTAAGGGACAAATTTCCAGAACACGTCGCTTCATACATGAGTCTTTAGCTGCTATAAATGCAGTGTGTAAACAGTGGATCCTCCTGTAACCAAAGGCAATAGAAGTGGTGTATGCTCACCATAATACGAGGGGCCCTTGAGGGGCTGGGGTAAATTAGGGTTGACTGTGCCATGGCACTTTGCCTTTGTCTGGTGTTGTATTGATTTGGCCATTCTTACTGAGCTCCCATGGTAGCTGAGTAGGTAGAGCACTTTGCCTAGAGACTCTAAGAGTGTCTAATACCTTCGTGTAACTGTAGCTCACAATTGGAGTAGCGAGGTACATTATATATACGAGTGACCACATTAGCCGAGTTTGCACAACCAGTGATCTACATATATAGACGATAGACCATCTCGTATCATATCAATCAGTCTCACTGCCTCATTGGCCATCGCTGGTATTGCACGAATGGGGTCCCCCAGATGTAGGGGAAAAACAAGTCCATTTGTATAATACTTTTACTTGTGCTTACAGACCTGGGAGCTCGTACTTGAATAATGTAATCATACATACTGTGTATATAACATCATCATCAACTGCATCGCTAAAAAAACGAACAAACTGAGTTAATGACTGCTTAGGACAGCATCACTGAAGACTTTGCCAGTTCCTGCATCAGAGAAGATCAGTGAATAATTGCATGTCTCAACAACTTGGTAACGAGGTAGAAAGGCAAGGCAAGGCAAACAAGTCGACTACACCCAGGACAGCTCTTTCTCTCTCTTCATGCACGTCTTGCTTTGCACAAGCACCTCTCCATTTGTGTGTAACTAAACACTTGCCTTGAAAATTGTCCGTATTTTATGAAACATAAAACCAGCTTTCGTCCATGTTCAACACTTGAAGTCCACTACACCAGCACTACACTAGGCTAGACATAAAACCTATAATGTGCGACCTCAGACACACCAAACAACTGCACTGCAACATGCAAACAAAGTTTGAGAGTTGTAGTCTAGTGCTTATAATTACGCCCGAAAATTCACCCAGTACCTTTGTTTGTCCAGTGCATAGGAAACCTTTGTAGGGTGCAACAAGCAAAGGAGTGTTTGTATGAAGAACCAACTATATAGATATTAGCGTTAGTTATCGGTGTATATACTTACCTGGGTCTTTTGGATGGTGTCGGTCCAGTCTTCTGTAGAGAGTAAGGAGACTGACTTTATGATGAGACGAACTGCCACTTCGCTGCTCTTCTTCATCTGCTCCATCACCATTTCCACATTGACCTGGTTGGTGAGAGGGGGCGGAGTCTACATGCATACACAGTGTGTAGTAGAAAAGTGGAGAGAATTTACGCGATTCAGAATTTAACAGGAGAAACGTTGCATCATCATCCGCCGTAAAAACTAAATCTTTCACACACACAAAACGTGTGGATAAAATTTCATGGTTGGCTCTAAATTGCCTGTTTGAAAGTTGCTCACTCAAAGTTTATATACAGTATAAACTAGTTAGAGAGATATAGCAGAGAGGTCTACTGGTTGTCCTTCCAACAGTCATAGTCTGGGGGTAGCTAGTTCTTTAGTTTGAGAGCACTGTGGCCATTGCGGTGCGCCAAAGCACATACCGAGCTCGTTGGCAGGCACGACCTCGGGCAACCTCAGGGGCTCATATGCACCAGTTCAGCAGCCCAGCTGACGGACAGGACAAGCAGCTCTGCCCGCGTCGAGACATGGGGCCCGATGGTTACACCGTACCACTTCTGTGGAAACACTAATTCCAGGCTCTCGACTGCACGAGCCCAAGAAGGAGCGCCTGTTAAGATGGGACGGAGCTAGGACAAATCGGGATGCTGGGACAAACAAAAAAACGGAAATACGTGAAGGTACGTCGATAGAGAAAGTAAGGGGGCGTTTAGTCGTGCGACCAAATTTCGATGAATACTGGTCGATATAATGAATTGTTCCTGGGTGGAGTGTTCTTGCAGAGCCACAGGCTGTGGTGACTATCAACATGGTTACACCCTCCTCCTTGAGAGAGCCCGTACATGTTGGCTCGTGTAGTTGAATGGAGTACGGGTGAGCGAAGGCCATCGCCGCGTGTTTCCTGGCCTGTTGGAGAACCGTGAACTAACT